CATTTGGGTCACCTCCAGGGCAGGCAGGAATCGAACTCATGCGGAAGTGGCTTTAGCTTCTTAGTGCTGTGCTTTAACCAGCTGCGCCACCAGGGAGGGCGTGGTATTGTTATTTTTTCATGGATTTTTTATTTTTTATTTTTTTTATACCTCATTCTTAATTTTTTGCATTTTTCCAACTCAGTTGTAATTCCCATGGGCTTCCCACCACCAGTTCAACCGTGTGCCATCACCAAAGCCCAGTGCACTCTTCTCATCCCAGTTCTGATCCCATCCCCCACTGCACCCCCATAAAATGTCTCTGGCTTATAGTTGTTCATTGTTTTCATTTTTTACTGTATTACATTTGTTTGTCTCTTTCTCCTTCCTCCCCACCCCCAATCCCTTACCCTCCTGCTATAAGTGAAACCATCTGGTATTTTTCCTTTTCTTTCTGGCTTATTTCACTAAGCATGATCCCTTCTAGCTCCATGTTGCTGCAAAAGGCATGAGTTTATCTTTTTTGATTGCTGAGTAATACTCAACTGTGTATATGCACATCTTTTTAATCCAGTCATTTATTTTTGGGCATTTGGGTTGATTCTTCGTCTTCCCTATAGTAAGTACACAGGTATCATGTACAGATTTTATAAAAGTTATATTAAAACTGGCCCTTTTATATGTTCATTCATCATAGTGAATCAAAATTTTTTATGCTATAGAAATTCTCCTCACCCAGTTTTCTTGTCATACATGTAACCACTTGTAAATATTGTACACACAAACTCAAATAGAAGTGTTGGGTTTGGTGAGAAAGTGTTCACATGTTAAGCAAGGAACAGGCCACCCATGAAGAATGACTGCTGGTTTGAGGCATCTTTGTTGAGCATTTATGACACCTCTGTCTGGCCCAGAGCTTGTCAGATCAGTACCTAGGGCTGAAGTGACACAAAAGTGCAACAATTCTCAGTAAGCATTTGGAGCAAGCCATAGGAGTAAGCCATAGGAAGCTGACACTTTCAGTAAAAGCTAACATCACTGAGCAGTAAGTATGCCTGGAATGGCTTGAAGGGACTTCATCTCCAAGGAAAGAAGTCTTTCCACATTGATTGAAATACTGCCTCTGAAGTGACAGGTCAAAGAATGTGAGCAAAATGGAATATTTCCTTTTTTGTTCTGTGTCTTCTGGGCTAATTCCTCTGAACTTGTTGGGAAATCTTGATATTTTTCTTTTTACAAATGTTGGTTTATTAAGACTTTCATGGCATCTTTTCCCTAAAGGATGTGATCTCAGAGCCATAACCTAGGGTGTGAAAATAAAAACTGAGAAAGGGAAGGGAAGGAAGGAAAGCACAGGAGAAAAGGAAAGAAAAGGGAGAGTAGGAAATTCAGCCAACAGTAAGTTGCCTAGGCTTCCCATCTCTTTCTTTGTCTAACTAAAACATCCTAAGACATCTCTTATTTTCTAAAAGACAATTCTCATTATTCCCTCCTCCTTTTTACAACTCAAAGCTGACTTCATGAGAATCCAATATGCCCTGTAGCAACCTGAATGTAACTATTGACATTATGATATTTTTACATTTTAAACACTACTTTCTTTGTCTTTCAAATAGTGTGCATATGTGTCTCATATGATAGTTGTTTCCAGAATTTACAGGCCCAACCCATAAAAGCTCTACCACCGTCTATCAGGGGAGGCACATAGCACTTGTAAAAGCATCCCAGGTGATGCTCACTCAGTTCTGTTCTGCCAGATCTAGTGTCTAGGGGTGGATGTATTCTTAAGGCCTGACCAGAATGTGGCACAGCTTAGGTGACAACACCGAAGTGTAGGCAAGAGTGAACATACCCATACATCCCACACCCTTCGTGAAGTCAGGAATTTTGAAAAGGTAAAACTGTCTTTCAGGCTTCATTTATTTCTGCCAAGTTGTTTTCTTTGATTAACAGTACTATTCGGAAGATGCTTGTCCTTCACTTTCCAATCTCCTTTTAGCCTTTGTCTGTAACCTTGTGGGCTCGCCACAGGTGGTACCATTTGTAATCCATTTGACACAGCAAGACTATCATAATTAATGAAGCTCCCCACAGCACTGCCAGTGACCCAGAATGTAGGACAGGAGGCACTGAGTGGAAAGAACAGAGGGCTGTGAGCCAAGAGACCTGGACGCTGTCAGGAGGCCATGTGAGCTGCAAGAACAAGGGCGTACACTCTTCTTCCCGTTTGTCTCCAGTCTTAAACTGGAAGGCTAGGAAGGAAAAGGATCTGTCTAAAATGAAGGCATAATCACTAACCATTAAAATTCTTGTTCTTGGCCACTATCCTTTATTTGCTACTAAAAAATACATTTCAAACAAACTGTTGTTGCATCAAGTTTTGACTGTGTTGGTTAGAGGGGGAGTTATGATTAAATCTTTAAATGCAGAAATAAACACCAATCATTTTCTGGGTTGAGGTCCAGGCTGGAGCCTGGAGAGCAGGGGAATCTGCACTTCTCTGGTACAGGCTCTTCTAACACATGTCTGGCAGGATTTTCTATGGTAAGGGTTTGAAGAAGGGAAAAAAAGCAACTCAGAGCAGTAGCTTTCCCTTCTTTTCTTGCTCCTTCAGACATACATGTAGATGGAATAAAAGGAGAAAGAAAATAAGAAGCCAGAAGGAAAACAGATGGCTTCCTATAATGATTTTCATCCAGTTGGAACTATGTTTTGACATTCAGGTCCTACAGGAAAGAACTGGAATAGTTTTTTCTACATTTCACCCCACACCATTTTTGCCTATCTTAGCCTAGGTCTGTATAAACAAATCACCCCACTGAGGAATTAAAGTCAGGTCATGGAGAAGCCCCAGTATGCAGGCATTCAAATGCATCCTGCTGACTTTGTTCATTAAAATGACGCCATCTGCATCTGCTAAAAATGCCCCAGAGACACCCCACGGAACCTACTCTCAGGCCTTCCCAGATCCTCCAAGCCAGACTTAAACAACCCCCCTCCTCCTCCACAGGTCAGCTCAGAGTGACATTAAGCTGTGAGTGCCTATCCAGCAGGTAGAAAACACACACAAGTCTTTACGATGAGGGTTCTCCTTTCTCCCTCAAATGAAGGAACCTGAATCTCCCATAAGTCTTCACTTCAGTTTTACTAAAAATTATTTAAAAACCCTATGGCATATTGCCCTCATAAGGAGTTGGTGAATCTCTTGGCTCTTTCCTTTTTCTTTCCTCAAATGGATTCAGGGTTCAAGTCCTGGGGTGTCATGTATTTGAAGGACTGCTCTCTTTACATGCAAGTTTCACTCATAGTATCAATCTCAAGTTACATGTTAATATTTTAAAAATGTATTTAACATTTGCATTATGTTTTCTGTTTTATAAAAGTAATATAAAGTTACACAGCATGTTTATATTAGACTTTTTACGATTATAAAAATGCCCTAATAGAATGAAAAGTTCTAATTGTGAGTGTGTGTGTGTGTGTGTGTGTTTTGTTAGTGCATGATTCAAACGCTGCTGGATGATTTTTACTAAATGTAGAGGGACTATTTCTGGTGGTTTGATTTCAAATATAGGTGAAAGGTGTATATGAAATGCAGACTGAGAACCCAGAGCTGTCATCTGCTGGGTAGCTTGCATGTTATGTAAGTTACAGCAAGAGGCCCACATGCTGCTGATGGGAGTAAGCATATTTCTGGGACACAAAAGAAATCACCCCTTGCCCCCAGTTCTTGGACCGGAGGAGTAATCAAGACAGCATCAGATGAGTTAACAAAGGAAAAACAATCAATGAACTAACACACATTGGAAAATGTATATGGTTGTAAACCCTGGAGCAGACCAGAACTATTCATCTGCATTTTAGCACCGGGGTGTAAAGACAGGGCGGCGGGGGAGGCTGTACATGATTGACAAAAAGGGCCCGGTGACCTCATCCTTACCCCAGAGTACTAGTGATTTCTGGATTAAAAGAATGTGTTTACTGATAAGCCTAGAACTGTGTGAGACCCCCCCATCACCACATTCTTCCAGGTTAATAAAAAGGAGAACAGTGATTGTCTTATCAGTTAGGATGTATTTGTCTCTTCTTTAATCAGGGATGAGTGAAGCCGCATCAGCTCCTCCAAGCCTTCTGGGTCCTCACTGCTTTGAATACAAAGTAAAACAATCTACATTCATGAGTAATTGAAATGGACTCTTAGGGCCTTGACTGACCTGTCGCTCCAGACCAACGTGACATGAGGCCTACTGCAGGCCTACTGTCAAAAATTTACCTGCTCCCCTTTTGGGAGCACTGACCGCACAGTATTAAGAAGCTGAGGAGCACTTCAGACCAGCTTGTTGGTCTGGTTTTCTCACTTCCACCTCTTCACCTTCTGCCACACTGTATCTTGAGCCAAGAGGCTGGCTCTTCAGTTCTGCTGCCAGGTCCTCTTGCTCCTTGCTCAGAAGCAAGCTGCACCCTGTCCTCCCACCTAGGCTTTGCTCAATGGGAACAAGAGGAGTTTGTTACCTCTAAAAACACTTTCCCTGCAGTGACTACACATGAAGGGGAATTCCTAAATCGTCTAAACATGAACAAGGTCCATAAAAAGAAAAAATCAAATAAAAAGGAAATGTGAATAAATTCTAGAATGAAAAACCAAAGCTTTTCCCCTTCTCTGTGTAGCATTCTCTAAAGTTGATGGTCAAAGTTATCCTGGTGTGCATGCAAAATGAAGGTCGTTATTTGTCCTTTGCACAGGACATTCAGACCCTGGAGCTACATAGTTGGGTGCATATTTAACAAACATTTGTTTGTTTTGGACATTATCAGAGCTATGTTTCAGGCATTATACTAGTTATGGAAGATATAATAGCTAACAAAAGCATATAGAGGCCTTTCTCACACCCAATTTTCTTTCTGACTAAGAAAGATTAAGCCCTTTTCCTTTCTTCATGGGTCACACACTACCTTAGGATAGCACTGGAGGCAGACGGCCTGGGACACATCTCATTTTTTACTTATAGTCTTTGTGACCTTCGCCCAGTTAGTTCACCTCTCAGCACCTACCTTTCATGTAGATAACAGAATGTTAAATACTTATTAAATTACATTAATTTAATTTAATATAAAAAACATTTCCCTCAAGGATCTAGTAGAATTATTAAGTTAATATAGCTTATATATTTATACACACACACATATATTTATATATATGTATATATATATATATGTACATATATATATATATAACATTTAGAACAGTGGCTGTGGAGTTGTGACTTATAATAAGTATGTCTGTCTATCTGTTCCAGACTCAAAGCTACTAAAAACCCTTGAAATTTCCCATGTTCTGAGCAAGAAAAAGGTGTCCTTTGTTATGTTAATGAGGTGACTTCAGGAAAATACCTGAGGTTGGAGGCTGGTTGCCATGGGAACCAACAGAGTTAGAGGGTTGGAACTTTCAATCCCGCCCCCAACCTCCAGGGAGGAGGGGCTGAATATTGAGTTCCATCACCAATAGCCAGTGATTTCATCTGTCATGCAGTGACCCTCCAAGAAAACTCAAGGGCAAGGGTCAGGAGATCTGGGGAGACTGGCACACTTAGCAGGAGATGGAAGCCCCCCTTTCTCATCCATCTGATGTTACTGAGTTATATCCTTTTGTAACAAACTCATAGTCTAGCAATGAAATGTCTCTCTGAGTTTCTTTGAGCTGGTCTTGCAAATTAACCAACCCATGGGTGGTAGCCTTTGGAACTTCAGTCTACAGGTGGCTGGTCAGAAGTACAGGTGACAACCTGGAAAATTGGTTGGCATCTGATGAGTCTTGTATGACCGAGCCCTTAATTTGAGGCATCTGATGTTATCTCCAGGAATTGTCAGAATTCAGTTAAATTATAGAATTCAACATCTGCACCCCATGTTTATTGCCACTTTACTTACAATTGGAAAGACATGGAAAAACCCAAATGCCCAAAAGTAGATGACTGGATTAAAAAAATGTGGTACATATATGCAATGGAATATTACTCAGCAACCAAAAAAATAAACACATGCCTTTTGCAGCAACATGGATGGAGCTGGGAGGGATCATGCTTAGTGAAATAAGCCAGAAAGAAAAGGAAAAATACCGGATAGTTTCATTCACAGCAGGGGTATAAAGGACGAGGGGAGAAAATAATAATAATAATGAGCAACTATATACCAGAGATATTTTATGGGGGTGGAGTGAGGAATGGGATAAAAAATGGGGGTGGCGGGTAGTGCACTGACTATGATGATGGTACACAGGTGATTTGGTGATGGGAAGCCCACGGGGATTACAACTGAGATGGAAAAATGCACAAAATGATGTAAAAATAAACATATTATTTAAAAAAAAATTTAGGATTCAAGAATTGCTTGGTATTGGGGATTCTCCCCAACACACATCAGGGCTGGGTGGCATATGTAAGTTCTATGGATGTTACTATTCATTTAGATAGCACAGCTGGATGGCAGGGTTCTCCCTTTGTTAGTGTCTTTGAGTTCTTTTAACTAGACTGTAAAGTCTTTAAAGGTAAGGGCCAGTTTTCAGTTCTTGTGTCTGCCACACTTGGGATGGTGCTTTTCTCAAAGTGGGCAAAGAACAAATGCTCCTGACTGAGGACAGTGGAGGAGGCATCTTTTTTGAGGTCAGAGTGAATCTCTGGTCATTGAGTACTCCATTACTCAGCAAAACTATGGTCACTGAGTACTTCATTCTCATTACTATTCCTTCTGGAGGAAAGACAAATGCCCCACACCTTTGATTTTTTGATTTTTTTTTTATAATAAAGTGGCTTTACTTTCTCAAAAAACAAGTTTCAAGGTTACTGTGTTAAAGAACATCCTTTGCCTCAAAGAGAAGTAATAAGACTCACCTTGATTTTTCAGCGGTAAAGGCATAGTTTCCCTGAGTTTGCTTAAAAGGTTTTTCATTTCTCGCATATCTCTGTAAAATTGAAAAAAAGAAAAATAATCAGCTGTACTATTTTGAAATGCAATCTCAACAGTCTGTTCTATGAGACAACTGAAGGACGAGAATCTGTACCTAATTGTACCAGCTCTAGTTTCCAATAGGCAAACATTGAGTTTATTTTGCTTTTTTATAACAGAAAAATCTGAGATGGGCTGGCTCTGGAAGGAAGGAGAACTACCCTGGCAAGCATTCCCACAGGGTCTTCTGTTGCAGGTGCTCTTACCTCTTCCTCCAGTGGGACCTGGCTGAGATCAGAGGAGAGACGCTGGTAATGAGGACAGTATTTCAGATTCCCAAGGGGAGGTAAAGGGCACAGAACTCAAACAGTGAGTGTGCCCTGGGCATAGCTGGCTGATGTGCCCTTAAGGTTTTCAAGTCAGGTGGCTATTGTGGTTGTGTAAGTTCCCTCATGGTCATCTGCTTGGATTAAAGCCGGTCTTCAATGTGATTGCAAGTTGGTGCAACACATGTGAAAACTATTAACAAGAATTAAATCTGAATTGATTTAGAGTGGCTGGGGAGGGGAGAGTAGGTCAAATTTGAAAATCTTCAGAGAAGAGCTCCTCACAACGGATGACAGAGAGAGAACACGGCACCACTGGGGACAGTGAGCCTTCCTATGGACAGGGGGCTATAGATGTGCCACTTCATGCTTTCAACATCCCCCTCATCTCAAGGTATGTAGGATCATAAATCATAGAAGTACAGAGTAGGGAGTCATTTCGAGTATCTAGTCAGGGTAGAGGGTCAGAGTGCTAGTGGTTTCTCACGTGTTAGAGTGGTTGTCCATTGAGTCATCACGCCAGGACATTAAAAAGAGCAAAACTCAGATACACCCTCTATTTAACTCTAGAATACATGAACAACAGCAGGCCCTGGAATTTAAGGGTTTTTGAGAACATATTTCTAAAGTTGAGGAAACAACTTCTTTTTCTCCTACTACTGTAGGAAAGAGTTACCATTTAATCTTACCTATGAAACTCTACAGTCTATGTCATGAAAAACACAGCTGTTATGCTGTGTTTTTAGTTTGAAGACCCCTATCTTTGGGGAGGTGGAAACCGGATGGGATCTCCTTCTCAAGTATTGGGCAATATGTGACAAGAAACTACCTCAGGAATTGCTGATTGGAAAAGGAGGGGGAAGTAGTCTTGCCGAGCTCTAAAAATCACCTGTAAATTCAATCAGAATTCTTCGCCACAGGTGTCAGGAGCTATATGTGATATTCTCCTGCAAAGAGCATTTCTGGAGAGAGAAGGTGAGTGTGGGGGAGGGGAGAAAGGAGGACTGACGCCTTGAGCCAACCAAGGGAACATTCTGTTTTTATGTAGAATTTCCCAGAGCACACAGGGTGGGTAGGAGGGAGGCAGGCATAAGCTGGGAACAGGCTAAGAATGTGAGATGTGTTGGCCAGACAGGGCTTCCTGAGAAGCAACAATTCTCAGTCTTGGCTTTTGCACAGGAGTCCCAGGCCACTAAGTTCTACCCCAGGAGAGCCTGATTTTGTTTTATAGTGGGACCATGGTGATTTCTTTTTATTAATAATTATTTTCTTTTTCCTACATTGTGTAGTCTCCATAGTCCTCTCAGCACCCTATCGCCACATTCCCTTGTGCTTATACTATCCCTGTTTTGCCCCTCCCCCTCCTTTCTATATGCTTCAGTTTTGTGGGACCTGGTGATTTTCTTTAAAAAGATTTATTTATTTATGCATCCAGAATTGGTGTACAGGCCAGAGGTGCAGGGGTTGTGAGAGGATTCATCAGAGACAGAGTGGGGAGTAGAGCAGGCCGACTGATGAAATACACTGCTAAGGGGAGCAGCGGGCGGGTCAGGAGAGGTCTGCCGCGCCATGTGGGTCACCTCATGCTGAAGTGGCTTTAGCTTCTCAGTGCTTTGCGTTAACCCACTGTGCCACCAGGGAGGGCCCAGACCTGGTAATTATAGTGTGTCAAACAGGTTGATACCCAGCCTTGGGACAGAGAGACAGGGAGAGCTGGGGAAGCTGTCCACCCAGGCCAGGTGTGCCTGCTTCCTTCATGAGGCTATACTTCTCCTGACTGGAATCTGCTTTTGCAGGCAGAAACAAAACATTTATCAGCCTTGTGGGCTATGCTCTTGCATTCTTATTTCACCCATAGCTTACTTATCTATCAGTTTACAGAGCGTGGTTATAGCTGTTGTAGGAGGTTTCTCAAAAGGAAAATGGCTAGGCTGATGGATGATTCCCTGACCATTAGCACACTGGCAGATTATTTCTTCCTGGGAATAGAGCAGAGTATTTTCTACCTTATAAGTTAAGTAAATCAATCCCTCATCATTTGCCTATAGTTCTATCAAACTCTGCCAAACAGCTTTATTGTTTGAATTGTTGGATTATCAAGCTTATACAAAATCCAAGTTTTATTAATAGCACATAATTACCACATGCTTCAATTTTCTATAAACACAGAAATTCAGTAATTAGCTTTAGAATTATATTACAATCTGACAGTAGAACCACAATGGCTATAAATGCGATTGTGTGTTACATTTCTAAAAATAAAAACATAAAATGCTCATTATCTTGTCAATGACTCAACCCAGCACACACAGAGCACTCGATGGAAATGCCCAGTTTTCATTCAGCTGCTTCGTGCCAGGCTCAGGGGACATTAGTCACAAAAGACAGGATATCTGTCTAAAAGTTGACAAAAAAGGGCCTTGTCCTTCTGCCTCACAAAATGGCATTTTTAGCATCTAGAGAAGGCCTGGCACTTATTATTATATTATTATCATTCCCTTTTCCCAAATGAAATCAAATCCCCATAGAATATCTCTTTTTTCCCAAGACAGAAATTTCCTTTCTAGCAGTAAGCTACTGCTGGTTAAGATAAGTGCATTAACTCATCTTAACCACTACAGGGCCACCAGCTACATTCTGGAATAGGGAAGGGCTCCCTCCTACTACTGCCTTGAACAGACTGCTGGGCCCCTGACCCTCCTCTCCACAGAACTTTCCATACCCCTGAAATCCGGGACTCCAAGGAAGGCATCTTTCCAAGATTCTGAATTCATCTCCATAAACAAATGAATATTTTGGGATGTAGTCTATTGGGTGAACTGTGATGATACATAGATCCAACTCTCCCTTCCCAAGGAAGCACAGTCTCCATTTCCATGGTGACACAGCCTGACGGAGTCAGCTAAGCAGAGGCTGGAGCCTGTGTCTGCTAGAGGTTCGCCTACTGTTCACTGCAGTTTGCACTCCTTCCCTCCTCTCAGTTTTATGAGAGCAGTTTCTGAGTCTGAAGGAGAAAAATCTCCACTTTCTGTAGCCCCTAACAGTATTAACTGGAGGAGGACTGGCATTCTATTTAAGGGAGCTTCCCACTTACCTTTCAGTGTTCTCAATGTCTGTGGAAACCTGCCGGGCTTGTTGCTGAATATCTACAGGGGATGATGAGGAGTCCTCTAGAGCAGGCGTTTCAGCACTCTCCTCAATTTTGCAATCCAAACTCTTGGTTCCCCCGACAGGTTCCTTTCCTGAGGGAGTGACAGGGTGAGTAAGAGGGGATAAGAAATCATCAATGCAAATTCTGTATCCCAGACTGCAAAAGCTGAGGATGCTTTGAGTCAAATGCTCCATCACAAATGCTAACATTGTGTGTGTGTGAGGGGGCATGTTTTCACAAAAGGTTTTACCTTTTGTGAAAGGTGGCGTGAGGTCAGTGCAACCTGAAAAGTCAAGATAAAAGTAAGGTGCCCTCTTTTGCTGGCATATTGGTGCTTTGTAGCCAGTTCTTAGTGAGTGAGATCAGGTTAGCTCTGGGGTGTGAAACCATGATGCTTTTTGGTTCTCAGATGCAAGGACTGATTTCAAGTGAATAAGTTGATTCTCTCTGGAAACAAATCTCCAAATTGAGTTAGCCCTAAATTTGTATGAAATGAAATGGGAGTTATAGTCCAGTCCAGACAGCCACTGCTCATGTTTTTTATTCTGCTTGGAACATCTGTGTCTCTAAAGGGAGAATCCTGGGGGCATGGGAATTGCTTATGACCGAAGAACTGGGTTTTTAAACCTAGCTTTGTCGGTTAGCTATTCACTAAATCTATCCATTTGTTCACTTGGAAATATTTCTTGAGTTGTCAGTTAAGCTTGATGTTAGAGATATAGAAACGGAAGCATGACAGTCTGTCTCTTAAAGTACTGGAGATAGAAAATTAGCAATTATATAAATAATTACAAAACTGTTGTATAATAGTAATCTGAAAAAAGGGTAGCTCTAGTCTTTCTTTTACTTTTTCATCTCATTTGTATTATAATAACTAGACTAGTTAAGAAATTGTTATAGCCCATATTGATGAACACTTCTGGATTAGCAGCTATATCAGGATACTTCTTAGTTCAGATTCCGTAATTGTACTGTGACTATTTTTGCCATTAAAAACAGAAAAAAACAAACACACATGTGAAGAGTGAATGCTCATGAGAAAACCTAACAGGAAGACATCCCCCTTGGATTCCTGATCTGGACAGAACTAGCAAAAATCGTGTCTCTGTAATTCCAGAAACACAAGGAGAAAGAGAAAACAATTAATTCAAAGGTAATTAACTGTGCAGCTTTCATCAGCTTAGAGTAGAAAGGGACTTCTGAATATTCAGTCAAAACACAAATACAATTTTAATGATGAAAATTTTTGATCCTTTTGTGTGTACTTTATGTCCATGGATCCTGGGTGACAGAATTGCTTTTCCGATTTGATGGCAAACTATTTGGTGGAAATTTGTTAGACAGAAAATTTGGCTTATTATCATATCAGAGGGCATGGTCCTCTTGAAAGCATTGCATAGCATCCGCTGTAGAGTGAGACAGATGAACATTTGCCACCCACTCTGGGTAGAGTCAGCCCTGGGATTTGACTGAAAACAAAGGAGGGTGAGATCGGAGAGGGGCAAAAGTGGGGGCTCCCCACAGACACCCATAGGCTTTTCAAACATATGAGGGAAGGACTTTCTGAAAGCACACACGGTTCCTATTATACTCCTGTGGGACTGAAATGCCTTGGAGGACCAAGGATGCTTTGGGCAGCAAGGAGAATGGGAGAAGATTCACATGCAAATTGACTCTGCTATATGGGCTTTGCCTGGCTTTGGGGATACAGTGGCCTCTGTCCTGTGGTCAGGGTTGTAGAGCCAGACCTTTCATTCCAACAGATATAGGGGAGGACACAGTGGTGTGATTTTCCTCTTGGAGTCTTCTCTTCACCTCCCTCATATATGTATATGTGTGTGTGTGTGTGTACAGAGCGTATTTATATGGGTGTATATAGGTGTATACATCACACACACACACACATATATCTGTATGTACTCACACCTTTTACACAGAAAGGCATAACTGGAACAATATAACAATTCTGTATATTACTTAAATAAAACAGATATCGGGTAATGTTTTCAAAGTAAAGTAACTACTCATATATTCCTGAAATATTCCTATGGATATTTAATGTCACATCATACCCTCCCTTTCCTCATTTTTCAGTGTCCTCTAGATCTAATTCCACTAATGTGAATGAATAAGACTAAAATCTTGGATGTGGGACTTGCAGTTTCGTGTCTTCTGTCTTTCGTGTCTTCTTTCAAAATCTCTGTAAAATTTGCATGATATTTTATCTTCTCTGACTGAAATACCTTAAAAGACAGAAGAACTCAATATAAAGTGAAAGGGTTTTCTTGATAGTTCTGACTTTAGCATGGGCTCCTTCTTGCTACTATCATTATCTGTTCATTGTATTTATATAATGTACCACTACCAGAAATGATCTGCTTATCTATTTATAACTGGTTTACAGTTTACCCTCCCATCCTTTCCTCATCTACCATCTCCAAACTAGACATGTGAATTCTGGGTGACAAGGAACTTTATCTGCATCATTTAGCTCCCTATTAAGTCCAGTATCAAGGACCAAACATAACACATAGTAGGAATTCAGTAGATAAGTAATATTAGAAAATTAATTCCATATGCTACAGATGCTATATAAATTACTTTGCTGTAACTAGATAGTTTGAAATACTTCCAATACTTCCCATGTGAGTGCACATGCATGCTTTACAATGAGTGGGTAATATTCCATAGCAAGGAATTAAGACTGCAGTTGTTCTCTATTTCTACACTGTGTCAAGATTTATACAGGATAGATCCCTAGAACCCAAAGACCCAGAAAAATTGCATAGTATCACATTTTGTATTTTAATACTTGTTGCTGAATTGGCCTCTAAAAGGGCTATAGTAATTTATACTTCACTTCTAAAATAGGAATGAGGGAACTGTTTCTCCATACTGTTGCCAGGACTTCATATTATCAATATTTAATTTTTGGCAATCTGATAGTATAGAATCTCACATTGCATTTTCATTTTTCAATTCCTTTATTACTACTAGATAAATTGATTTTTATGTTAATTGGCCACCTATATTTCTTCTTTATATTTTCTATTTGAATCATTTACCTGTTTAAACAATAGGATTTTCTTATTCATTTGTAAGTATTCTTTCTATATAATAAATATAATATAGATCATGAGTCCATTATACACTGCTTATATCTCTTAATCTCTTATATTTCTTGTTTGTCTTTTCTTTATGTCTTTTGGCTTTGTCTTGTTTATATTTTCTTTTAATACTTACCTATTTTTAACATGTTCAGTTCTTTAACACATCTGTATTTTTATGTACAGTGTCATGAAGGATCTAGAGTATTATTAGCACAAATGAAGTGTCAACTGCCCTACCATTTAATGACTTTACTATTGACTTTACTGCTTTGTCTGATATATTAAATTCCAATAGATATGTGGCTCTATTTCTGGACATGCTAAACTATTTCATATTTATTTATTTATTTGCTTACCCCTATGCTAATTCCATAAGATTTTAATTACTACGGTTTTAGTATGGTAGTGAAAGTTCTCCTTCATTATTCTTTTTAAAAAATGTTTAAATGTTCGAATCCACTGCAAGTGGAACTATAAATTACTACCATCTGGGATTTGGAACTTTAATTAGGGATGAGTCACTGATTACTTTTCAGTATTGTCTAGGTTTAATGGTTTATTTGAAGTTTTTGCTCTTCTTGGGTTAATTTTGATAATTCACTTGTCCTAGAAAACCATCTACTAGATACATTTTTAATAGCATACATTCAAATGTGGCTTTTTTTTTTTGTAAATTTACGTATCCCTAATGCTGTATTTTTATGGCTTCTGATTTCTTTGCAAGCCTTTATATAACTGAAAATACTTCTCTCTCTCTCTCTCCCTCTCTGCTCACTCTTAGCTTCTAGTTAACTATGTGCAAACTAAGTTTCTCTCAGAAGTTGGGTAATATTTTCTTTTGTCTTCTTTCTATATCCAGGAAAGCTTTGTGGGTACTCTACTTGTAGTTTTTGGAAAAATTTTAAGGATATCTTAAATCCAAGTTATGAATTGGCTCCTAAATATGTCTAGGTTTTTTTTTTGGCATTTGACTGACATTGCCAATCTATTTTCCCAATTTATTAATTTGAAAATTTGCAAACTGAAAGCCAACTTGAAAGAATAATCAATGGATATACAAATATCCTACTTTCACCAAAAGGTAATATTTAATCATAGTTTCTTTTAATCTCTTAGTCTCTATGTGTGTGTATATCACACATATAGAAATACATATATAAGCATATATACATAAGTGCATATATTTCATATGTATTTATAGTTTTGATTAAATATCTAAAAATAAATTAGATACCCTAATGACAGTTTACACAGAATACTTAGAATGTTTACTTCCTAAAAAAAGATATTTCTTACATAGCCAGAAAACAATGATCACATAAAAAAATTAACATTAATAAATATGATTTTATATAATACAGTTTGATACAATACCCTTATTTAATGTAGTATCTATATTCAAATTTCTCCAACTCTTCTAATAATGAGCAGCATAGTTTTGTTTTTGTTTTTTTTAATCGAGGCATCAAATAAGGATTATGTACTGCATTATTTGCCAGTTTCTTTATTCTCCGTTCATCTAGGGCAGGATCTTGTCTTTTATTTTTTGTCTTTTTTGTCATTGTTTTAAATGAATAGTCCAGCGGTTGTTTTATAGAATGTTTTTGAAATATTTGTCTTATTGTTTCCACATATCTAGATTCAAAGTAAACATTTTTAAAAAAGATTTATTTATTTGTGCATACAGAACTGGGGTGCAGGCCAGAGGTGCAGGGGTCGTGAGAGGATTCACCAGAGACAGAGTGGGAAGCAAAACAGGTAGATGGAGGAAGTACAATGCTGAGGGAGCAGTGGGCAGGTCAGGAGAGGTCTGCCAGCCATGTGGGTCACCTCTGGGACCTGGGATCAAGCTCTTACTGAAGAGGCTGCGGTTGGCTTGCAGTACTGTCTCCTAACTCATCGCATCACCAGGGAGAGCCCTAAAGTAAGCATTTTTTGCAAGAATGTAACAGATGAGACAGAATATTCTTTTGAGTGTCTT